GGGAAAGGAATACAAAGAATACCTCTTTGAAGAGCTCATTCCAAAACTGGGGTGCCACAACTGAAAAGGCCCTCCTCCTGGCAGCCACCCAACTCACTTCCTTGGAAGGGGGTCCCAGAGAAGGTTGCCTGAAGATGACCTCAGGGCCTAGATAGGTACATAGGGGAAGGGGCAATCTCTCAGGTTACCTGGCCCCAAGCTGTTTAGGGATTTGAGTGTAGCGCTTTCATTCTTTTAGTCTGGAAAAGGTATTTCTAGTCATCAAGGGAGTCTTTCCCTTGTCAGGGAAATTTATGTCAACTAGCATATCCAACAGCTGATAGTATTTCATGATTGTTGTGAGTTTGCCCATTTATTACACACCATCTGGATGTTGAATATAGTTCTTGCTTCCTCTGAACTGTTAAGCTGTGAATTATTGTGGGATCTCTAATGACACTCACTACCTCATTGTTGTTTCAGTCTTCCTTCTCCTCTTTCACCGAATGTTTATAACCCGTCTCATTTGTTTCACAAGTATGTGTACCTTTATAATCTGACCTGTCATTCCTTGCTACTCTGTTCAGTCTGTGTCCACTCTCTCATAACCTCAAGTGAGTTTTGTACTGGGAGTTTATAATATGTTGTCATCTGCTCCTATAGCTTTTCCTCCTTTGAATTGTATTGTGCAGTTAATAGGCCTTCCCACTTCTGTTTGTAATGCAGAGTTCTGCTTCAACCTGCGTTGTTCCATGTTTGGCGTTTACTAAGGGTTGGGATACTTACATGACTGGTAGTTAGAAAATCTGTTAGCAGCTGATATTCACTGTGATCTTGCAGTTGGCCATAAAGTATTGGCAATGGGATGAGATCTTGGGATCAGCATGTAAACTATAATATTGTCCGCTCTCTATGAGAACAACATACCTTGACCCAAATGTCCTTGTAAGCTTTTCTCTATTGTGTATCTTAATATGATCCCAAAGCTGACAAATCCAGTCATGCTTTATTTATAACTGGATGTCCTGGAGAGAGGTACTTTTCTGTTGTACCAGTGCAGGGTTTTCCTTAATCCCTGCGGTGGAAAGGTGTTGAGAGGGAAGCAGGTGGGCTTGGAAGGGAGTGTCTTTGTGCGTGGTGGTGAACACAGTTGTTTTGTGGGTGTCCTGATCCAGGCCACTATTGTTGTCTGTGTGCTGCCTCTGTTCTCAGAATTGGTATTCCTGTGTCTATCAGTTGCTGAGAATCTTGGGCAGGTGGAACTCTGCTTGAGGGAATCTGTGAGTTTTCCACCTTGTCAATGGAATACTAGACTGGATAGATGCAGCATGACTTTCTTATGTTCTTCTGCACTTCTGAGCAAATAAAAAGCAGAGGAGCAGCTGCATGCTGTGGATTTAATGTGTGGTTTGATCCTGAACCTCTTTGTATTTGAAAAGTGTAATTGAATACCCACCACCTGCTTCTGTAAGAAATTGAGCCCAGCAGTCTTTTCCACCATTGTTTATTCTCTTCCCAGTGATTTCGGTTGTGAAGTTATAGAAAGATACTATGGAGCACTGTAACCCAATTTGTTCCTCCTATACCGGAGTGCTGGCAAGCACAGTTTCCCCTTCACTTGTTCTAGCTGAGTGCTCCCCCTACCTTGCCTTATTTTCCCTGGAGATTCTAGCTGAATGTCTCTCTGATCTCCCCACATGCGGTGGTTGCTGTATTGGATGGGCTGCCCTTTCTCACTTTTCCCTACTCACTCCTACAAAAGAGAACAATCTTAACGTTTACAAACCACTTTTCTGAGGTCAAGGTTGGTGCAAAAGTGGTGACTTCCTCATAAAATTGAAGCTAAAACAATTAGAAGTACTTGTCCATAAAGAACAGCTCATCAAAACCAGAGCGTAGAGAGCTTTTGTTTCTGCACATTCCAGTTGGCACTCTGTTGTTGACCTTGAGTTAGTCTGGGAATAGACAAGACTCCTTTTTTGTGTTCAGATGGGTTGGTTCCTTGGATATCTTTGGTTGCTTGTATCTGCAAATCAACCAGACAGTGACTAATATTCAAGAGATTCTCTGGACCAGGGCCCATTGTTTGGAAAGCAAGCATGTGTAATACTGCTTTCTTAGTCACCATTTGAAGCACTGTCAGCCTAAATTACCTTCAATCCAACCTCCCCCCCCCCCTTCCTCCTCTTGCTTTAGCTTTGCAATGTTGGTTGGGATACTCACACTGGGTAAGTAGGTTAAACTAGATTACTGTACTTTATTGTTCAAAAACTGCACTAATAAGTAGATTAGTTGCCCATAATGAAGGATTGTTCTGGCTGGTGTCTTAGTATAGTCTGTGTGCTAGGCAAACATACAGGTCCTTTGGAGCTATTTAACATTGTAGTGATAGGATTTAAAGCAACCAAAAAGATATTCTGGAAGAGGCACTTAGAGACAAATACAGACTAGGAGGTGTTCTCTCTCTCTGACCCAGTGTAGCACTGGGTAATGTAATCTATCATTATTGCTCAGCGGTCTTTAATTAGGGAGAGGATGAAAATAACCTTTTTGCAATGGGCAAAACAGTTGAGAACAGTGAAACCGCACATTAGTAGCCTCAAGGCAGGGATGGCCAACTTAGAGTTTAGCCACTCTTTCTCCCCCCCCCCCCGCTGCCCCCATTTTTGCTTGCAGGCAGTAACTTGGAAATGAACCAAGCCATCTAGTAAGGTGGGCAAGCTGCATAAGAGGTCTCTGTGATAGCATGTGAATGCAAACACTTGAATATCATTTTATCATTCAGATAAAATGGAGAGGAGTGGAAGATTATAGAAGCCACTGTGGATTCCTTGCAAGAAAAGGAATATAAACACAATAAATAAATACAATCCTCACCTCTTTTAATTATTGGATTAATATTCATTGTTGTAATAATGTCCAAGCTCCTGGGTTGTACAGAACCCATTTTTATTGTTTTCCTGTCTATTCTGTGAAGAGCTGCCAACTTAAAAACAGCCCTCCATTACTCATATTTGGAAATGTATTTTTATGACTGTAACTTGGTGTAATAGATTTGCTTTTAATACGTTATGATGTGCTTTTGCCTTTAACAGTCTCTTAACTACAAAACAGCTTAAAACGTAAATGTCATTTCACAGAGGTTTACTTCTAAATTCATTAGGGCCATTGGATTCATTTCTGGCAGCCCTGTTCTGAACTCCATGCACACAGTTTCTGAATTCAGCACTATGGGAAGCCTTGCTGCTTATCTCCTAGGTCTCACCCGTACCCTGTATAATTTTTTCTGAAGCACTCAGTAATAAATATTTCATTAACTCCTTTCCCTGTTCTGTCATCTTATAGTCATTTCATAGTGGTCCTTTTATCAGAGCGCTTGGCAGTTGAAGCATTTAATAAGCCTCTCTTGGCCTGACTCCATGAATCGCTTGCTCACTTGGGACTCACCTGTACATGCTTGACAGTTCTTAATTCCCAGGTACAGTCCTACTTGGGCCATGAATTGAGGGTGCTTATCGGCTTCCGTGCTACCAGTTTCAAATAGTCTGTGCATAGAAATGCCACTTGTAGACTTTCGGCAAGTCTTCCTTTACACTACCCTGATGTTAAAAGCAATGAACTGAAATTAGCCTCTCCCTAGCATTAAGAAGTTCAGTAATCAACCCATTTTCCCTCTTTTGGTTCCATTTGGTCTTTGCTGTATCTGCATCAGTTGCCTGACTGTAGATTAGGGGAATTGTCTCAAACAGCACTCTCAAATTTAAGCTGTTCACTTCAGTGGAACTGACTTAAAAGTTGTAGAGATAAAATGAGAGGCTGGCAGGGTAAAATTATAAGAAGGCTCCGGGCCATGGTTGAGGCTAGGCTTGTCCAGGCATCTGGTGGGTCCATGCCCCTGTAAGAACCTGCTGGCAAGAGCCCCCCAGAGTTGCTCCTCTTCCTCGCAACTGTGCCCTGTTTAGCCACATGTGTCTCATTCTGGCACAACAACAGAGCTAGTGAGAAGCTGGATCCATACGAGTAAATGTCATTGCCTGCTTGCTTACCAACATTCTGCTGGCTGAGAAAGCAAGTGGTGGTGCTCATGAGAGAAAGGAAAGAACAGCAGCAGATGGTGACAATGAGAATGAGAAGGTAGACTCATGGAGGGAAGAAGCCCACAGGGGATCCCTGGCTCAAGGACCCTCGAAATTTGTGGGAGGCATTGAGGAGAATGCATTCTTCCCAGGACTTGGGGGAGACTAGATGTGGTCTGAAGATAGTGCCGTGGGCCCTTAATGTACTTCACAGTCTGCAAGGACAAAACGCTTTTCAGAAAAAGAAATATGTTCCTTTGGGGGTTCCATTTTTGATACCTCTGCTGAACAAGATTCTTCCAAATCTCTACCCTTGTCGAAAATTTTTACAAAAGGTGATCTGAAGGCTTCAGTGTGATTCAGTTCAACCTGAAGGAAACTGACCTTGCCAAATGGGAGTTGGGAATGGCTGAGCCTCCTGAAGCTTGGGAAGAGGGGAAAGAAATGGAATCCATAAAAATAGGTATATGGGAAAACTTGCTAGAAGCAGTTGCTGACTTATGAGGTACAGTGAGTAAACAAGGGAACACTGTTCAGATGTACAAAGCTATGGCAGGCAGTCTGATGATACTGGTTCTGCTTTTGACAAGAATGTGTGCATTGGCATTGACTTGAACTGATGAGCCAAGTTATGAACCTCCAGAGGTGGGTGTGCTGGGTTGATGGGATTAAACTTAGAGAGCTGTGTGAACAAAGGATGAACAGAAAAGTAGAAAAGCAACTGAAGGCCATGGTTTGCCTGTTGTACTTTGGAATCCATGGTTTGGATTCTCAATCGTTACAGCTGGTGCAAGGTACCAGAGACATCCTGTAGAATAATAAGGTTGTAATTTGGAAAAGACTTGTTCTGCTTCAAAATATAAATAACATATGCCAAACCTGAAAACTTCTGTAACCTTAAAAATCCTGACATTAACTCATCAGCACTGTCTTCTGTAATTGCAGTTTGGTGCAGAATTTCGAAGATTTTCTCTGGATCGTTACAAACCAGGAAAATTTGAAGACTTCTACAAACTTATCCTTCACATCCACCATATATCCAACATGGAAGTAATGATTGGATATGCAGATATACATGGGGATCTTCTGCCTATTAATAATGATGACAACTTCTTCAAAGCTGTTTCAAGTGCAAACCCTCTACTTAGGATTTTTATACAAAAGCAAGGTAAGAGGAAATGGTTACTCATCTGCTGAAAATTTTAAAAAATTAATCTCCTTATTGTTGTTCAACTGATTTCTGGTGTTCAAAAGCCCCAATTAAGAGAGGAATTAAACATTCCTTAATAGTATGTACTTGGGATAATTTGCATTTTCATTTCATGAGTATAGCAACCACCAGACTCCTATTAGCAACATAGCTTCAGAAATTTCTTTTCTCCTATGCAGAAAATGTAAGTGGGGCTTTAAACCACTGTGTTTTGTGTGCATTTGGGTGGTGGAGGTCTAGCTTACCTGTCTACCCAGGTTGTCTCTCCAGCTATCCAATATGGAAACTGAACAACACAGAGACAAAAACTTCATGTTGGATTCTGTATATTTTAACAGAAATGACATTTTGGCTTGGTTGCCCAGCTTATCTGGCTTTGCAGTTTTATTATTCAATGCATATTAGCAATCCAGAGGTGAATTGCTAAAGTATCCTTGAGCTGCTATATTCTAAAATGCATTTAAGAAACAATTACTTTGTTTCCATTTGGTTCTGTTTAGGATCACTTTAAGATAACTTGTCTAGAAGATACAGAGGCACACAAATGAGAATACACTGTCTAGAACAGAATAAAGTTGAAGCAGCAGGAATAACAAACAAGACCTTGTACAGACAAGAGCCTAATATTATGTCTGCGTGTACATGAAAGGGAGGGAGAAAAAATTAATGTGGTTTAATTATGATGTAGGGCTAGGGCTCAGACTGTCCTAGTTTTCACAGCTGGAATGTTGGAAAGTGTTATGAATAATGGCTAGTAACTCGTGGCAATCATAAAGAACAGCATCTTATTTTATCATGGGAGAGTAAATTCAAATTTACTAGAGCCCTTCCACATCGATTCTGTTCTGCAAAATAGCCACACTTCTTATTTAGCTTGAAGATGGTGCTGGAAAGTTCAGAGCCTGATGACCTTGCTTCACTTTGTTGCAAAGATCTCTTTAAAATATGTAGAAAGGCGAAGAGAAGTGAGTGGGAAAGTGGCTCAGTGTTGAAGAATTTTGAGGAAATCATTATGCATTTGACTGTCATCTTTTGGAGGTGGTTGAATATTACACTTTATGCTGTAGCCAGTAGTAAAATCTGGTTGGCTGGAATAAATTTTATCAACTTCTGGTTTTTCTTCCCCTTTTTTGGTATTCCTTACTAGCCATTATTATTATCCAGCTGCAGTGTGCAACTTTATAGCTTTAAGGGAAGAACTTTTAAAACTTGGGAGTTTATGTGAATAAATACATGTTTTTGGGAGTGATAGATAATCGTAAAGTCCTGCAAAGCCCTGGACTGTGAAGTGTGGTCCCAAGGGAGACACAATTGGCATCAACCTCGCTTTCTTTTTGCCACCCAATGCACAGGCATTTTTTAAATTTTGATTGAATTTTGATTCATCCGGTTGCTGGTCAAATCACTTTATTATTTTCTAATTGTTTTGTTATATTGCATTTGCTTGTTCTAATGTTCCACACACGGTGTCCTGGGATTCCTTGCGAATATTCTGCATGATGGTCAGCTGTATGTAAGTGGTCATTTTACTCTTTGTGTCGAGGACCAGAGCCCTCAAAAATTCTCAAGCTGTGAAGTGGAAAAGGGTGTTTCTCTGCAACCTACCTTGCCACTTTCTGGTGTCACTTCTCGTTCTGGTTGAGCAGGTTGGGACTAGATTACCGTCTTGGACCAATATCCGTGGCTCATTTCAACTTCAAGGGAAGTGCACAGATGTTCTGCTCTAGGGTTTTTCTGCTGAGCTTGCTGAACCATCAGTGCAGCTAATCGCAATGGAAACAGATGGTTTTCACAGTTGGCGAAGTTAGTAGAACGCATGTGGACCTGGGTTTAAATCCGACATGAGTTTGATTGAATGGCCTTGGGGCCCATTTCGTACATTTAGCCTTGGCTCACCCTTTGCAGAATGGGAATGATACCTTGCTACATTATGGTGATAAAGAAGGAAATGTTGTCTGCTTTGGGAATTAGATCAGAAGCCACAGCTCAATACAACTCTAGGCAAGGTAGAAATGAACTGTCCTCCTTCTGCCTCTTCTATGGATGGAAAAAGGTTTATTGTCTTGAGAGGGACTTTGTGCCCTTTGACCGCAGTGGCTGTGAAGGAGGAGTACTTCAGCTTGGTTCAAGTAGGATGGGTTTTATCGGCTCTCAGGCAAGCACGAGTGGCAGAGCTGCGTTCGGCAAGGCACAGACTGTCCATGCTGTTCCAAGGCCAGTGTGCAAAACATCATCTTATGGCATGTGCCCTGATTTTCTTCTATTTTTCTCTCCTCTTTCCCTTTCCCCACTCATTTCTGGCCATTTATCACAAGAGGCGGCAGTCATGTACCGCAGTAGGTACTTAGTAAGCCTTCGTTTTATGAAAGTAATGGAAGCCATGTAGAAACACATACAAATAAGAGCCAGTGTGGCATGGTGGGAAGAGTGTTGGACTGGGGAACTGGATGCTCCAGGTGTGAGTCCCTACTTAGCCATGAAGTTCACGGGGTGATTTGGGACCAGTCAGGGACTCTTAACCAGGGTGGATCTGATTTAAATCACATTTATTTAAGGCACCATTAAATCACTAGTAAGTAAGACTAGATTTAAATCATGGTTTTCTGCATAATTTGCACACAGGCCTGCCTTACCTGTAGATAGATAGATGAACGTCATTAAAATATTCTCAAATTGGGTCTCTTTTACAACCTGCTGCCATTATAGGTATTCTCCTCCAGGCGAGGAATAATATGATAAACCTAAGGCTATACAGAAGAAGATTCAAAGATTTTTGGAGAACTCTGCTCAAAAGGTTTCCCTTTCATTTTTGCTGCTCAGCACTTAAGAAGTAAGTGGTTGATTCTGTGTACCTTGATTTGCAAAGGAACAATGGAATTGAGGTCTTTATCTCTAATCTGTGTATATTGTAATATTTTTGCTGTGAAGAAGAGGCCCATGATCTCTGCAGACACAAATTCACAGTTTTGAGAACTGTAAAAAAACATACCTTTTTAGGATTTTTTTTACATTTAGCCTGTATGCTGAGGCCCTTTTTAATTGTTTTTATAGATATATAAATTATTATGTTTTCATTGGTCTTTAATGTGTTTTTACTGTTGGAATGTTTTACATTGTAAGCCGCCTAGAACGGACTTGGTAATTATAGGTGACCTATAAATATATGTAAATAAATAAAACCAAGCATTTGTGATAATACCTTCTAGATAGAAAAATTGCCCAGTAAAACCTCTGAAACCTCAGGAAGAGCATGATGCTCTGAATGGATTAATGGAATCCATTTACCAAAAAAATTAAACATTGCATGAATATACAGCCTCATGCTACATAATTAAAAACTAATTCTTATTTCAGGATAAATAGCCTTTGGACTATAATGTATCTTGAATAGAAAACTCCCTTTAGTTATTTTTTCTTCAAAAACCATTTTGTTTTTAAAAAATCCAATAAAAATCCAATTTAAATTTTAAAATCAATTTACATAAAATTTTATTTAAAAGCAAATTGCCAGTGTTTCAAGGAGACATGATGTCATTGTTATTGGTGACTTCAATTTCTCCAAGATATGGTGGGAGATAAATTCTGCCAAACACGGCCCCTCCAAAAGATTCCTTACCTGTGTTGCTGACAACTTCCTTCAACACAAAGTGTAGGCAGAAACAAGAGGAATGGCTATCCCTGACTTGATACGAACCATCATAGAAGACCTACTGGACAAAATATCAGCTAAAGGACTTCTGAAAGCAGTGACTATGTCACACCTGAAATCTTGATTCTAAAGGAAGCAAAAGCCCAGTGTAGATAACCATCTACCCTGGATTTTGGGAAAGCCTTTTTTAATAAACTCAGAACAATGATAAGTAGAGTCTCATGGCAAGTGACTCTAATGAGAAAAGGAGTCGAAGAAGAAGGTTTTTTTTTTTTTTAAGGAAATTCTAAAGGCACAATCACAATTCCAACAAGGAAAAGGGGTAGAAGACAACAGAGGACCATGTGGTTCACAAAAAGCATAGAGATGGTCTGGAAAATAAAAAAGGACAGGTATAAGAAGTGTAAGGAAGGCCAGGCCACAAAGGAGGAATACAGACAGGCAGCACAGAATTGGAGAGATGGCATCGGGAAGGCGAAAGCTAGGAATGGGCTGAGGCTAGTGAGGGATGCTAAAAGCAACAAAAAAGCCTTCTTCAGATATAGCGAAAGTAAAAGACAGAGGAAAGAAATGGGGGTTAACTACCATTTATGAATGGCAAAATGAGAACAGATGACAAAAAATTAAGAAGGCAGAATTGCTCAATTCCTACTTTGGCTCAGTCTTCTCCTGAGAGATCTATGACCTTCCTGGTGAAGGGGAAGCACAACTGAAGGAGCAGGATGGCAGCCCAAGACTGGCAGGCAGATGGTCAAGGATTATCTGATTGGGTTGAATGCGCTCCTGTCTCCAGGGCCTGACGAATTCCATCCTGAGTCATGAAGGAGCTGCCAGAAGAACTCTCAGAACCACTGTCTGTTATCTCTGAAAAATCATGGAGGAGAGGAAAGTGCTGGATGACTGGAGAAGGGCCAACATTGTCTCTGTCTTCAAGAAAGGAAAAGAAGAAGAAACTGGGAACTATAGACCTGTCAGTCTGATATCAATCCCTGGGAAAATTATAAAGCAGTCAGTCTGCAAACACCTTGAAGACAATGCAGTGATTACTAGAAGCCAACGTGGATTTCTCAAGAACAAATCCTGCCAGACTAATTAATCTCATTTTTTGATTGGGTAACCTCCCTGATGGACTGTGGACAATAGTATATCTTGATTTAAGCAAAGCTTTTGGCAAAGTTCTCCATGATACCCTGATTAGCAAACTAGCAAAAAGTGGTCTAGATTGAACAACTATCCAGAAGGTCCACAGCCGGCTGCACAATCGAATGCAAAGAGTGCTCATTGATGGCATCTTCTCAAACTGGGGAAA